CTCTTGATATTATCTTCATTGGTAATTTTCAAATATGCCCGTTACATAAATAATTAGAGACCGGTCCAGCTACATAGAAAACTAGAAATAATTACAGTGAAGATTGATGTCTTTATTTACAAAATTGATGTATTTATTTACAAAATCTACTTGATAAAAGTTCATGATTGGTGACTAAATATTTATATAAATAACATTTTCATACTAATTAATGACCATGAGTACGGTGAATACGATTATACGAGACGTGACATTATTTAAGTAGGATTGAATAGTCATATCGACTTTCGGAGTACCGTACTTCCCTAAGACCGATTGCTTGATCCAGATATCAATATCAAAAGTACATAACCTAGTTTTATATTTTAAAATCCAAAAAATTGTTTCTCCCTTGAATATTTTATTATTGATCCACATTAAAAAATTACTTTTAATACTAATTTTAATGGTTTCATCCAATGCTACTCCAATTGAAAAACTTCAATAAAAATTCCAATAAATTACTATGCTGAAATGAGTTTTTATTGGATTTTAACGATTTCAATAGTCGTTTTCAACTGATGGAATTATTGGTGGAAACAATCAATTCCACAATAAATTGCAAAATAAATCATTTGAAGGTATAGTGTTGTTGAACTCTTTCAATATAACTGAAACTCCAATGAAATTTTGCAGCGGCTTCTCGTCAGAATATCCGTTAACCTTAAAAAATTAAATTATCGCATACAATTTTTATTGAATTATGCGTTTTCTTTGAACTACAATTTGTGATCAACTTTTAGGTTCATCTAATCTTTTAGTAGTTACATATTTATTTAGAATTCTCAATACTTGCCTTTCTTCAATTGTTTTTCTCTTTTTGACTTTGGAATTTAGTTCTAGGGATTGATTAGACCATACCAAAGATTATAGCAACCACTAATTTGGTTTTAGAAAGTAAAATAATAAAAATTCCTCACTGAACAATTCAAACAATCAAACGTATATCATTCAAACCATCCAAATTAAGCAAAACATTACTTAATTTCTTACCTTATCCAGATATAGTAATAATTAAATAATGTCAGCTTACAATTATTGATTTATAAATTAACCCGCAAAATATAATTCTGATCACCACTAATAATAGTAGTTTTTTGTGGCTCTATAAATACGCAAGAAGCGGACGGGCATCTTAGCCTAATTACCTATATCTCTCTCCCCCACTTTCTTCCAACCTCTCTCATCTAATTTATGTCTTTCTCTCTCTAATTTATATTTCTCGTTCCCTTTTTTTCTGCCCTTTCTTTCTCTCTCTAGCTTCATTAAGATAAATTGGAGAAGGCAGATCATATGTCATTTGCAGGGACTTTGAGAGAGGTGTTGCGGGGGTGAGGGCCGGGCGGGCTTACTTCTTCTTTTCCAATATATCAAGGTTCTTTTCTTCTATATATTCTCTCTATAAATACATACCCACGTGCTCATATATATATAAATGGCTATGTGCATAATCATTTATACATTTGCATGATGCACAAATACAATGGCTATATATATATACATATATATATATATATATATATTTTGGTTTTGACAATTGATATGGTAATTGTATTTACAAAAATACAGAGGATACCAAATTAAGAAAAGACAAGAACAAAACAAATGGCTTCTGTTAATGCAAACGTGACATGTCCAAAGCCAATGAAGGCAACCTCAAACGGGGTGTTCCAAGGGGATGATCCTCTGCATTACGCGCTTCCTCTGCTCATCATTCAGATATGTATGGTGGTCGTGCTCACCCGAGGCCTCGCCTATATCCTTCGCCCACTTAGGCAGCCGCGTGTCATTGCTGAGATCATCGTCAGTTTTCTTTTTCCCTTTTCTTTCTCTATTCAATTTATATAAATTTTTGTGTGAAACAGACTAATCATTAAACGAATCGTTATATTATTTTTAGAAACAAAATTGTATACTTATAGAATGTTATAATTTTCTTCATGATGTTGTTTTAAAAGTATGATATTTCAATTTGAAAGTTTACATATTTATTTAAAGAAAAAAAGAAGTTGTTTAACCGTTAGACTTATCGAATGATAGTTTTATTGTATGTTTATGGCTATGAATTTTACTTTATTTAGTATAACCATTAAATTAATTTTATACTTATATATATATTTATAAGGTTTCTTGTGTTTTTAAGGGCTAAAAAACATTTTGAAATGAATATAACTTTTCTCGATAAGATGAAGTGAATTATGATAGCAGGTCAACTTTTGTAATAATGAATCCTTTGATTATTATTATACTTTTTTTTGGGTTCCTTATACTTGTCGAGTGATCGTTAGTTTCCTTTAGTTAATTTTCGTCTCCCATCATTTTGCGGTGCTAGCTAGAATATTCTACCATTTTGGTTGACTTTTCATCCCTTAAACTTTCTACATAAAACTACAAATTACTTGGCGGTAATTAAGGTCTATGTTGGATATGATATTTCATAATAATTGTTTTATGCTGACACGACATGACTTTCTAATTTATTATGTGTAGTTTTTTAACTTCTAATATATTTTATGGAGCTACTATGGTGGAATCTTCAGCCAACCCTTTGAATTTTAACTTGCCCTTTTCCATGACGTGGCTATAATTTTGTCTGATGTAGCTGACCCACCGAAACCATATATTTCACCATCTTATATATGCACCAACATCTCATAAACAAAAAGAAATTTAGAAAAAGGGGAAAAGTTGGTAACGCCTAGAACGTTTATTTACAATTGAAGAGCCTTAATATTTATCCAAAGCCAATGTATTCTTTAACTATACAATTATTTTAATAAAACAAAATAATTTTAGCAGGATATCTAATAAATTGCTAGGTGTTAGCTAGGCCGCAGGTTCGAAACCAACTTGTCCATGCAAAAATCTTGGCGCCAATATATAGAACAATGTCACTCATTCGGAATATATTTCTCACTACTCTTTCAAATATTAACTATGAGAAACGTTTTTGAAAACGATTGAACCATATCTAATTTTGTTGTTTCTCTCGCTATAGCAAAAAGTTTGTACTGGTCAATACTAAATAGTATCAAATTTCAGAAAAAAATCAATTTAGTAGTATTTTGATATAGAAGAAAGTTGTGGTTATAACTTGCATTCTTTATAATACTTGAGTTCAGGGAGGAGTTCTACTTGGTCCATCCGCCTTAGGCCGCAACACTTCCTACCTCCACACCATCTTCCCCGCACGCAGCCTGACCGTCCTCGACACCATCGCCAACCTCGGCCTCCTCTTCTTCCTCTTCCTGGTCGGCCTCGAGCTCGACCCCAAATCCCTGCGCCGCACGGGCAGCCGCGCCCTCTGCATCGCCCTCGCCGGCATCACCCTCCCCTTCGTCCTCGGCATCGGCACCTCCTTCGCCCTCCGCGCCACCATCTCCCCCGGCGTCTCCCAAGCCCCTTTCCTCGTCTTCATGGGCGTCGCCCTCTCCATCACCGCCTTCCCCGTCCTCGCCCGCATCCTCGCCGAGCTCAAGCTCCTCACCACCGACGTCGGCCGCATGGCCATGTCCGCCGCCGCCGTCAACGACGTCGCCGCCTGGATCCTCCTCGCCCTCGCCATCGCCCTCTCCGGCACCGGCAACTCCCCCCTCGTCTCCCTCTGGGTCTTCCTCTCCGGGGCCGCCTTCATTACCGCGTGCATCTTCGTGGGCCCGCCAGTTTTCAACTGGATGGCCAGGCGCTGCCCCGAGGGGGAGCCCGTCAACGAGATCTACGTCTGCGCGACGCTCACGGCCGTGCTCGCGGCGGGGCTCGCGACGGACGCGATAGGGATCCACGCGCTGTTCGGGGCGTTTGTGCTCGGGGTGCTCGTTCCCAAGGAGGGGCCGTTCGCGGGCGCGCTCGTGGAGAAGGTCGAGGATCTCGTCTCCGGATTGTTCCTCCCGCTCTACTTCGTGTCGAGCGGGCTGAAGACGGACGTGGCCACCATACACGGGGCGCAGTCGTGGGGGCTGCTCGTGCTCGTGATTTTCACCGCGTGTTTCGGGAAGATTGTGGGCACGGTTGTCGTCTCGTTGTTGTGCAAGCTGCCGTTGAACGAGGCCCTCACCCTCGGCTTCCTTATGAACACTAAAGGCTTGGTGGAGCTCATTGTCCTCAACATTGGCAAGGATCGTGGGGTAAATAATATCTTCAACTAAACTCAACATTTGATTAAGTACACACATTAATTGATCTTCAATTACATTTTGCAGGTCCTCAATGACCAAACATTTGCCATAATGGTCCTCATGGCCCTATTCACAACCTTCATCACCACTCCCACAGTCATGGCCATCTACAGACCGGCCCGGATGGCCCATCTGGAATACAAAGACCGAACCATCCAGAAAAGAAAACCAAACGCCCAACTCGAGATACTCACATGCTTCCACAGCACCAAGAACATCCCAACCCTAATCAACCTCATGGAGATCTCGAGAGGCACCGGCAAGAAGACCGGCCTCCGCGTCTACGCCATGCACCTCACCGAGCTCTCCGAACGCTCCTCCGCCATTCTCATGGTCCACAAGGCCCGCAAAAACGGGATGCCCTTCTGGAACAAGGGCAAAGCCGACTCCAACCAGATTGTCGTCGCGTTCGAGACTTTCGAGCATCTCAGCCAGGTCTCCATCCGACCAATGACCGCGATCTCGCACATGTTCAACATGCACGAGGACATCTGCTCGAGCGCCGAGAGCAAACGTGTCTCCATCATCATCCTCCCCTTCCACAAGCACCAGAGGTTCGACGGCCACCTGGAGACCACGCGGTCCGAGCTTAGGCACGTGAACCGCAGGGTGCTCGAGCACGCGCCGTGCTCGGTCGGGATCCTTATCGACCGCGGGCTCGGTGGGGCCGCCCATGTCTCGGCCAGCAACGTCGACTACTCCATCACGGCCCTGTTCTTCGGCGGGCCCGACGACCGCGAGGCCCTCTCGTACGGGGCCCTCATGGCCGAGCATCCCGGGATCAGCCTAAACGTGGTCCGGTTCGTGCTCGACCGAGGCCCGAGTCCCGCGGGGGGTAGCGTGGCTGTCGACATTGATGACGGGCCGGAGTCGAGGTCGGACGACGAGGAGTTTGTCTCGGATTTCAAGAGCAAGGTATCCAAGGACGGGTCGATCAAGTTCGAGGAACGGGTGGTGGCTGGCGCTGACGTGGCCGCTGATGTGATCCGGTCGTTTGGCCGCTGTACTCTTTACGTGGTGGGGAGGATTCCGGAGGGCCAGCTGGCGGCGGAGCTCGGCAAGAAGAGCGGGGGATGCGAGTGTCCGGAGCTTGGGCCGGTCGGGAACCTGTTGATCATGCCGGAGTTCAGGACGGCGTCGGTGCTGGTGGTGCAGCAGTACAGGGAACAGTTGACTGGGAATGCGTTGACTTCGTTGAGGGAAGAGGATACCACTGGGACTGAAGGAGATTATGATTCCCAATAAATTTAAGGACTTTGGGAAAACAAACAAACAAACAGAAAAATTATTAGTAGTTGCTTGTCTGAATTATTGTACGTACTTTGTATTATGTTGAACTTAATTTGATTTTGGATGTGATTTATGGAAATCGGATTGTTTTATTTTAGGATAAGATTTGGTTGTTTTTTTGTTAAATTTGTTATAATTCCTTTTCTTTAGGATGAGATGAGATTTGTTACCATTTTTTTAAAATCAGATTTGGTACATTTTTAATTCACTCGCTTTTCCTTTTTTTTCACGTTTTATTTCACTCGATTTTCCTTTTTTTTTATGGGTTGAGATTTGGTAAATTTTGTATTTTTAATTTTTTTAATTTTAATTCACGTTTTTAATTTTAATTTCACGTTTTGAATTTTTTCCTTTTAATTTTTTTTAATCCGATTTTTTTTTTCATTTCAAAATTAATTTTAAACAATTCCACTTAATGTAGATTCTTAACAATATGGTCCATACATATCTGATTTTTTTCCTTATTTAAAAAAAAATTAAAATTAATTTTAAACAGGTCCACTTAATGTGGATTCTTAACAATATGGCCCATACATATCCGATTTTTTTTCCTTATTTAAATAAAATAATTCAAAATTAATTTTGATATATTTTTAAAAGACTCGATTATTTTTATAACATATCCGATTTTTTTCCTTATTTAAATAAAATTATTCCAAAATTATTATTGATATGTTTTAAAAATACTCCATTATCTTAATAACATATCCAACATTTTTTACTTATTTAAAATAAAATAATTCAGAACTAATCAGATTTTGAAGAGTTTTAAAAAGACTCCATTTATCTTAATAACATATCCGATTGTTTTTTCTTATTTAAATAAAATAATTCAAATTAATTTTGATATGTTTTAAAATTATTTGATTTTCGTCTAAAATTTTTTAAAATACTATTTTTATTTTTTTATTTTTTGTAAAAAAATAGATGAAAAAGTCAAATTCAAATTGAAAAAAAAATACTATTTTGAAAAAGATATTTTGTAAATCTTAAAAATATGGTCAACGATATCTTAAATACAACGGATAAATATGGTCAATGATATCATAAATTATTTTTTATATTCAGATAGTTCAACTTAATTGATGATTTTTTTTTTCAAAAAATATGACGATCATATAATTTATCATATATCATATGTTTATATTGGATGTTATTAGTTTGGTTGATGACATTCATTATATTCAAATAAATAATATGTAATTTTTTTTATTTGGTTTTTCNTATATATATAGAGCAAAAAATATCATGGGATATGATGAAGTTATCCTCACTGTGTATCTTTTGCTAGAAATTAATAAGGAGCGCAGATGTTTGTTTGCGATTTATTGCAAGTTTCAATATCATGGGATAATGGCTGCGCAAATAAATCATTTTCCAATTAAGTGACTGCTACAATTTCATTTAATCCCTGGTGGCTACCTCCAATTTTTAATCTTCTTTTCCTTGCAATTAATTGATCCAAGTGCTGTGTATTGAATTTTGGCCTAAGAATTATCAATTGGTGGCCCAACCTATTTAAAGTATCAAGTTTCATCTTCTTTCACCCAAAATCATATTGGAAGCCCAATCAACTTTGATCGCCACAATTAGCATATGGGCTGAAAATGGGCTGGTTGGGGTGCACCATACTGCTCAAAGTGAAATTTCGTTTAGTGTCATGCCGCCCACGAAAATACTCTAATATTCTGAAATTAAATCATAAAAATATCATAGCATTTGAATTCGTCTAATAAATAAATAAGTCAAAAAATATATAAGTGCGATAAAATTAAGCATATAAAATAAGCTAATAAATATATAACATATACACTTTTTTCGACCAATCAAATAATAAATTTCTAGAACCATTACAAAAAATTATGGCTTTGGTTCAAACACCTTTTATGTAAGGTTCAATTCATTTTAGAGATCCAGAGCTATCGTGATGGTTCGATTGGTTCATGTTGGGACATTGATTTTTTTTTTTTTCTTAAAATTCATATTTGGTTATAATTAAAGATTGATATTGTATCTTTAATTTTATTAAATATTTCAATCCTTATTTTCTTCAAACAAATAGATGACAGTTTCAGTTAAGAGTATATTTTTAAAATTTAGTTGTACAAATTTAGACTCCTAATATATATATATTATTTTACAAAATAAATTTTACAATTTTTCATATAATCTTAACTATAAAATAAGTAAAAGTATGAATAATAAAAAAAACAAAATAATTGAACTTTTGGAAATATTAAATTGATGTGAATTAAGTTGAACTGCTAGACTATAAGTTATTTAAGCATTATGTAAGTATTCAAGTAATTAGTATGACTACAAATGACTTAAAAACCAAAGGACAAGACAAATTCAAAATTATAGTTACATTTTCCAGTTCATTATTGTATGAGACGTTTCGATTCGGTTCTCAATAAATATATTTGTGATTTATTTATATTCATACCAATTATATGATCGTACCAATTATATGTTCAGTTAGGAAAAATTCAAACACTCAACGTTTATTTTTATTTTAATTTAAATTAATTTTGGCCTGGTGTTCTCGAGAGACTCAAATGAGTATCAAATAAAGAATAAAGAAACTAAATTTTTTATATTCTTGTTTATTAAAAAGAAAAAAGGAAAAAAAAAATCCACGTCAAACATTCTGGTGGCATTCGCCCTTTAGAGCATCTCCAATGGTATCTTGTCCATTTTAAGTTGCATGACATGAAAGAAGGAGATTGAGAAATTGTGTCTCCAATGATTAATGTTAAAGATGGTTTAATTTCACATGTGCAAATTTATAATTGGTTGAAAAGAAGAAATAAATTAAATAAATAATTTAATATGTAATAGAAGTTGTCTAGAAGTACTTCTACATCTAGAATGACTTTTAGAATTTTTTTAGGTCACGTAGGTTTTCTTGTGCTATGTGGCAACAAAATGAGCCAATTCAAATGTCATTGGAGATGCTCTTAGCTGGACTAAAACTAAAACTGAACATTTTACAATTCAAATTCAAAATTAGAAGGGACAAAACAAAACTGAACATTTTACAATTCAAATTCAAAATTAGAAGGGACAAAACAACTATTTCAGCTCAAATTAAATCAGCTCAACCGTGTAATTCAGTATAGTAGTTGGATCACTTCAACTGGGTAATATTTTATACAGGAGTCATCATCCAACGGATTTCATACCGTATATGATCTTTACACAACATTCACTAACTAATTGGACTCAAATCACAAGAAAGCGGTCTCGTTACGTAATTGAATAATAATAAGAAAAAAAATAAAAAAAAATATTATATACCCCAGCCAATCGTTAAACATATATGTAGGCATGTGGAAAGTGTATGACTTTAGACAGAAAATTGTTGACAATTCATTTCAATTTTTTATTTTTAATATTATTTTCTCTTTTTTATCGTTGCAGCATTATTGAGCTGTGAGTCGTGACCACAAATCCTCACCAACCCCCAAAACTCTAGCCACTATATAACGAGCCTAATACACAAATATTACTCACTTCTTGTAACTATCTCTACCAAATTAGTAAACAATGGCCACTACTTGCAAATCATACTTTTTACCTCTTCTTTGCCTATTCATCCTCATCTCCTCCTCCTCCTCCTCCGCCGCCAAGCACCGGCAACGCCAGCCATGCCGCCACCTCGTGTTCTATTTCCACGACGTGCTCTTCAACGGCCACAATTACGAAAACGCCACATCAGCCATCGTGGGGTCCCCACAATGGGGCAACAAGACGGCCATGGCCGTGCCCTACAACTTCGGGGACATGGTGGTGTTCGACGACCCCATAACCCTAGACAACAACTTCCGCTCGCCGCCGGTGGGTCGGGCGCAGGGGATGTACTTTTACGACACCAAGAACACGTACACGGCGTGGCTCGGGTTCTCGTTCGTGTTCAACTCGAGCGAGCACGTGGGGACGCTCAACTTTGCCGGGGCCGACCCGCTGATGAATAAGACGAGGGAGATTTCGGTGATTGGAGGGACGGGCGATTTCTTCATGGCGCGTGGGGTCGCGACGGTGTCTACCGACGCTTACGAGGGCGATGTGTACTTCAGGCTTTGTGTCGATGTTAAGTTGTATGAGTGTTGGTAAATTTCAAATTTGGAGTGGGTTATTAATGGCGGCTTAAAATAAATTGGCTTTTTTGTTTTTGTTTTTCTTTCTATTTTTGATGTAATAAGCTGTCTACATTCTATGAATTATGAAACTTTTTCTCTTTTCAAAGTGTATGGTTAAAATGCTGGACTCCAATTACATGCATGTTACAGGTATTGCCAATATATATTTTTATATAGTTTGTGATATAGATAGGAATACAGCCAGTTGTAGACCACTTGGTCTACAAATACCACTTGACACGGACGACCCCGAGCATTCAATCCGGATTACCCAAACATGTACCAAGCACAAATGTCGACCCGGATATATTTTGCTAAGTGACCCAATGGTAAACGACCTAATATGCTAAGCGATCCGAATTGTAAGCAACCCGAACGACCCAAAATCACCTAGAGGATGACCCATATATGATAAACGACCCGACTGGCCCATCAAAGGACCCAATGTTTAGTCGGACGACCAAAAATGATTAAACAGACGACCTAAGTACTCGCTATATATAAAATGGCTTAAGTACTCTACTCGTTATAAAACGACCTAGGCGACCAACAGCGCAACCCGAATGGCTCAAAATACTTAATTAGTGGGACGACCTGAAACGCCTAGACAAACGACCCGTGTTAAAACTCGATCGAAACTATTGCTCGACCTAGATTAATCGGCCCAAACGACCCAAACAGGTCCTGAACGTAATTCTTACCATTATAACAGAATATTCCAGCATATTCTTGTATACATATATACTGAATACTTAATTTTGGTGGATTACATTAAGATCTAAATATTATACATGCATATGATATGCTGATACGCACACAGATCATTGAATTATGCTCCTTAGATGATTGTATACATCTATATCTATATCTATATCTATATCTATATCTATATCTATATCTATATATATATAAAGAGGTTGTTGAAAAAATAAAAGTTTGACCAAATAAATATAATGTTTGACTTACTATTAATGTAAAGTTTGAAAAAATACATGTGAATCTTTAGTAACAAAATCTGAATCCTATTTTTTTTGGTAACTAATTAAGAGATTCTTATGGCAAAATTTGAATCCCATTTTTTTCGTATCATATTTTATTTTTTTTTACCAAAATTTAAATCATATATTTTTTTGTAACAAATTTGGAGATTCTTATGCGAAAAATGTGTCAATTATTTATGAAAATAATTCTAAATACAAATTAACTTAAAAACCGTACAAATTGAATACAAATATAGGAAACAAATAATTGTATAATTCTTAACCAATTCTTCCAATCTTATTGAAAAAAATTTTATTTAAAAAAAAGTGTGTAAATTGGATAAAACCACGTGCAATTTTATTTTCGAATCAAATTGATATTTGGACAGGATATACATTCAAAATTGTGTCCACATTTTTTGGTAACAAAGGTGGTTCATCTTTGATATTTAAAGTCACTTTATCCAAATTTTTTTTTTCAAAATTTAAATGCATCGATTTTTTTTATTCTTATGTTTTTTCTTAACCATGTTTTACTGAGATTTTGGTAAGTTCACATCATTTTTATTTTGGTTAAGTTCATATAATTTTTTTAGGAAAGAGACAGTTGCATAAACATTAACAAACTGTTTCAATTTTTTATTAAAATTATTTTCAATTTAATTTGTTTGGTAAAAAAATCGGTGTAGTGTTAGGAAAATTCGGTTGCATTTTTAGGAAAAATTGATGACTTTTTTATTTGGTTTAAAAAATATTCGGATCAATTTGTTTGATAAAAAAATCAGTTTTGGTAGAAAAATCGGTTTCATTTTTAGGAGTAATTAGTGATTCTTTTAATTATTCTTAATTAAAATTTAAAATTAGATTTAAAATAAATAATGGATGAAAATCGCTAAAAATTTCTATTTTTTTCTACTATAATTAGTTCAATTAATAAGATCCTTTGATTTTTGTAAAATTTGTTAACTAATTTAATAATATATAATTTTAGATAAAATTCGAATATTTATGTAGTATTTTACGTGTCAATGAAAACTCATAATGTTGTACATAAGGAAGTGTTTAATAACATATAAATTTTTATTTTCATGATATTTTTAATGCCATGAGACAATTTAAATATAAAAATATCTTTTAAAAAATAAATAGGTAATAAACACTCTCGTGCATCGCACCGGTACCGTACTAGTTGGTGAGAAAGAAAGGAATAGGAGTGAGAAAACGTCCAAAGTATTGGAGTCAGGGCCATTAAACAGGCAGAGTATTCTCTGGGCGGCAGTGTTGACCACCAACCTCCACCTACCATCATTCTTGTCACAAATAGCAGACTTTATTGGAATTTTAGATTCCTTATAATGATTTGGAGATTGAAAAAGGGGTACAGGACTACAGGGTACTAAAAATAAATGTTGTCACGATTAGCAGACTTCATTGGAATTTTAAATGCCGAATAATGATTTGGAGATTACAGATGGGTACTAAAAATAAAATTCATCTTAGTAGTCTATTAGGCTACAATTAGGTTACAAGAATATGATGAAATTCCAACAAAAAATTTCAACAGAAGTATATTTCAATGTGATATGAAATATCTTAGGCCACTACAAAAAAATTGATATATTCCAACAAAAAATCCCACGGTAATATATTCCAACAAAAATTCCAACGGATATTCCAATGTGAATAGTTTTCGTTGGAATAACAAAAATATTCTGTTGGAATGAGTTTTCCATTGGAATTCTAGAGTGCAACATGAGAGTATAGTAGTGAATGTAGAAAGAGTGAGGTTTTTGGAGACCAAAATGCACCTTAGTGCCCAGTTGGGCTTAACGCGCCAATACCCTTATGCCATGTATCCTAGCCTATGTGTAGACTTATTTTCTAATACATTCATTCTTATCCATTACAACCGGTCTAATACACTACAACCATATGATGAAATTCCAATGAAAAATTCCAACGCAAATATATTCCAATGGATATTTTAATGCTATTATTTCCGTTGGAATTTTTCAATTGCTTCAAACGGAAATTCCAACAAAAATTCCGTTGAAATGAGTTTTCCATTGGTATTCTAGATGAAATTTTCTGATTCCAACTGCTATATTTCCAACAGCTTTTTAACATAGGAATTTTCATTGGAATATGCAATTTCCGTTGGAATTCTTATTTCCACACCTGTTGGAAAATCTACCGTTGAAATCGTCAAAATCCAACGGAAATCCAATGGAAAACTCATTTCAACGGAATTTTTGTTGGAATTTCCGTTTGAAGCAATTGAAAAATTCCAACGGAAATAATAGCATTAAAATATCCATTGGAATATATTTGCGTTGGAATTTTTCATTGGAATTTCATCATATGGTTGTAGTGTATTAGACCGGTTGTAATGGATAAGAATGAATATATTAGAGAATAAGTCTACACATAGACTAGGATACATGGCATAAGGGTATTGGCGCGTTAAGCCCAACTGGGCACTAAGGTGCACTTTGGTATCCAAAAACCTCACTCTTTCTACATTCACTACTATACTCTCATGTGCACTTTTTATCTGGCGAGTGCTGAATTAAGCATCGGAGGCCCGACGTCTAGACTCCTCCAGCGTTAGGTTCTTGCAGGTACGGAGGCCGTCCGAGTTGAAGGAGCTTGGGTGAAGTCCATTTCACCAACATTGGCGTCGTCTATGGGACCCGTTCAAAAAGCAAAAAAAAAAAAAAAATGGCTAAATAAGTTTTTTGGTCCCCTAACTGACACTCATTTGACTTTTGGTCCTGAGAATTTGAAATTTGGCTTTTGGTCCTGTAAGTGCAAATAAATTAGTTTTTTGGTCCTCTGACCGTCTGTAGCAAGTCACGGTCAGAGGACCAAAAATGGTCTTGAACCAAAGCAGCAAAATGGAGGAAGGCCCTCTTGGTGTCAGACTTATTTTTCAACAGATAAAACCACACAAATCTGGTCTTATGATCAATGAAGCTTACATAGTACCTAAAACCTTTGTGTGAAACCACAGGTGCTGGTCCCCAAAGGTCTGAATGGATGAGATCAAAGGGTGCATAGTTTTTATCTTCAGATGCATGAAAAGGAATTTTATGAGATTTAGATTGCAAACACACATTACAAAGAGCAAGAGAGTTATCATTCAAAACAAAGGAAATTTGATAATGATTTAAAGCAGCCTTAACAACATCATAAGAAGCATGTCCAAGTCTTTTGTGCCATACATCAAGTGCATTAACATTATTGGTTGAGAAGGTGAATCTTTAATGAACTTGAAGTAGTAAAGTCCATCTTTAAGTTGTCCTTGAAGAAGTGGAGCACCGGTCTTGATATCCTTTACAAAACATAGGGAATGATGAAACTCAAAGAAAACATCATTGTCTTTTGCAAATTGTGAGACACTGAGAAGGTTTTTAGTGATATGAGGGACATGCATGAGATTGTTAAGGATGAAATTCTGAGGTATGCTGGAATGAGGGCAATTTATCACAGTATTTCCTATATGAGCAACATTCATACCTGCCCCATTAGCTGTGTGGACCCTTTCACTGCTATTATACTCAGTAGCCACATTGAGATTGCTGAGGTCATTTGTGAGATGATGAGTGGCTCCTGAATCTGGGAACCAATAAAAGTCTTGGCCATTATCATTGTCTTGTGACCCAAAGCTAGCCACATTTGCTGCAAGGTTGTTGTTTGTGTTGTTGTCTGCTCCTCTTGATTGGTTCTGATTTCTTGAGACAAAGTTTTGATCAAATCTGAAATAGCACTCCTTGGCAGTGTGGTTATTGTAGTTGCAAATCTGACATCTAGCTCGGTTTGAGCTTAGATAACCACTTCTGCCTCCTCTACCTCTATATGATCCCATCCTTCCTGCATTCCTGCCTCTTGCAACTGAGTTGTGATTGTTTCCTCTTCCTCTGTTGAAACCATAGCCTCTTCCTCTTCCTTGACTATGTGTGGCCAGATTAGCTGCTAAGAAGGAGGTTTCATTTTCAGTGGTTGTTTCTACACTCTCCATTCTACTTTCAAAGGTGAGCAGGACTGAGTAAGCTTCCATCATTGTGCATTTTTCTGTCCTTGAAGTGAGACTCACAACAACTGGATTGTAGTCTTGTCCTAGGCCTGACAAGAGATGCAAGATCTGGTCATTCTCTTCTATTTTTTAGCCTGCAGCTGCTAAGAGGTCACATATGCCTTTGACATTGTTAAAGTACTCCCTCATCTTCAAGTTACCCTTTTTCAGAGTTTGCAGCTCTAACTTAAGCTGCATTTGTCTAGCAAGACTATGACTTGCAAAGACTTTTTTCACACACTCCCACATCTCCTTTGAGGTATTCAAACCAACCGTAGTAACAAGAATGCTCTCTGATAAGGAAGACAATAACCAGGCAGCTATGAGTTGATCTTGCCTTACCCAGTTTAGGTATGCTTTGTTGACAGCCAGCTCTCCATTTGATGGATCTCGAATCAGCTTGTCAGGAGTTGGAGTTTCCCCAGTCAAATAGCCAAAAAGATCATAGCCCCTGATAGTAGTCAGAATCTGTTGTTCCCAGATCAGAAAGTTACTTTCATTGAGTTTAGTTGATATGAGTTGGTTTTGTAGTTGTATGATGGGTTCAGGCTGTGGTAATGTTGCAGAGGCTGCCATGGCAGCTGGCTGCCTCGAGATCTGGAAATAAAGAGAAGGAAGAGGTATGGATCAGAGCCTAGGCTCTGATACCATAAAAGAAATCAGACCTCAATCCCAACATAGTATATATTCTAGGAAACATAAAAGCAAGGAAGTGATAACACATAAATGAGGAAAAAATTGTCATTGCTTTTCTTCTCTTCAGTTCATATTCTATCTTTTCAATCAATGAATAATGACTAAACTATCTCAGCCACACATATATGTATGACGGCTGCACACAACTACTCCCTTAGCTATCTTATACAAATCAGTCTAGAATTTCTATATGTTTTGTCCATACTTGCAACTGTAAATGTGCTTTGTCTTCATGCATGGCTTTTGTCCATGTCATGAGTGACATGGCTCGGCTGTGTCACATTCCTAACAATTGCCACGCGAGCAAAAAAAAACAAAAAAAAAATAAGTGAATTTTCACGTAGGCTAGCAGGTCACCGTAACCTGTTCCAGACGGTCAGAAGACCAAAAAACTAATTTTTTTGCACTTACAGGACCAAAAGCCAAATCTCAAATTCTAAGGACAAAAGCCAAATGAGTGTCAGTTAGTGGACCAAAAAACTTATTTAGCCCAAAAAAATCGACCGTAGCAAGCGGAGTTCCAAACCGAAAATATTTATATGTATAAATATAACTTATATACTGTGTGTTTAAAATATAATACTATTATCTAACTTATAATTTAAATATTATATACATACAAATAACTCATATTACTTTATTTATATTTGTGCAAATGCACATGGTCGAATACTAATTCTAATAAATAAAATACTTTTATTTAATATATGACCTAACTAACAACCGAAATAAATATAGCGAGGTTTTTGAACTAGTAAACATTCAATAAATATAGCGAGGTTATTGGGGTAATACTTTCTCTCTCGCTTTTTTTATGGGTCTTATTTCATCTGTTGAAAAAATAATTTGGTACTAGTCAAAATCCAACTGAAATTTCAATAGAAACTATTTCAAATTAATATTTTCATGAAATTTCTTGGCAAATGTCAGTGTGAGTAATAACATTCAAATATTCATTGAAATTGCAGAAATTCCATGTTAGAACATGAATATTTTCATTGGAGTTTTTATTGATATCTCAAATATCAAGTTATTCATTTCAACTTAATCAAACTTTTTCTCCCAACACGTGACTATTAGTTTGATTTATTTAAATTACATCAATTTTAATCAGACATTTTAAATATTTCTTAAATATAAATTCAAAATCTGACCCAATACTCTACTCAATTAAATTTATTTTTCAAAATTAACTCACTTTATCCAATAAAATCTATCAAAATCAAACTATTTTATTTTCAATCACACAAGACTAGAAGGTAAAAAAATTAATATATCCCCATGAAAAGTGGTTGATGGAGATCAGGGCATGGACGAGTTGGCCGAACGAATCCAATTTTTGTCATCATTTTATATGATCCAAATCTGTTTTCAATCATCTCAAAAGAAGTTGTCATTTAAATTGCAAGGAAACCCAATCATTTCATTTTATATCCATCGTTCATGGATTTGTGCACCTAAAACATCTTGATTGTATTTTGACTGCACTATTAACTGTAATATCTACTTCTCGAACAATGCTTATTTTTATCTTATTTTTGGAGAATATTTTAATCAAATTATTTTTCCAACTATTTTTTACTATTAGTATCATTTATTTTAAAGACCAAAAACGGAATTTTTTTTCTATGTATCAGAATGCGAAAATCAATAGTTTTTAATTGGTAATCTCTTTTTAACTTTATCAAAAGTTGATGTCATTTAAATTGCAAAGGAACATATTTTATGCCTTCATCAATATTTTCATGCATTTTGGCCGTTGTAACTTGTAAAAAAAAGAAGAAAAATTAGAATTTTGGTCTTTTGACATTTTGAATTTCGAAAAAATAGTATTTTCGTCCTTTATTTTTGACACTCATTTGAGACATAGTTTTCTAAAATTGTACTTTTTTTTACGTATTGTCCATTTTTTATAATAAATTTAGAATTTTGATTATGTTATAAAAAATAAATGAATTTTCATGAACTTACATTGTTTTTATATAAAATTATGTCGCGATTATAGTAAAATTCATTCAATACAAGCTCCGATTGTATATACAGTAATATTCATTAATATATGATAGGGATATGCTACAATCTTGTTACGGAACTATTCCGTCGGGATTGGTAACCGTTGGATCATCATGTAACCGTCGTGGATAGTTGATCTAACGGTTACCAATCTCGACGGAATGGTTCCGTAACGGGACTGTAGAATCTCCCTATATGATATATCAAATTAATAATTTATAGTAATATTCATTAAATACAAAGAAAACGGCAAAAAAATCTACATAAATGAATGCATAAAATAGATATTGTGTATGCCTAGAGCTCTAATTTTTTATTTTTTTTTTGGTACAAAGAAGGAGGCCCGAAGCCTAGACTAAGACTTATCGGGGGAACGAAACCCCCATAGAATCGTGTTCAAGCCACTCCCCAGCACCAGGAGGAGGAGCCGTGAGCCGCTGCAAACCGACCGGGAAGGAGGCCGCCATTTTCGCTAGATGATCCGCCGTGAAATTTACCTCCCTATGCATATGTTGGATATGATCGAATATCCCATTCTCTCTGGGTTAAGTCTCGAATGGCCTTCATTATGGCCTCATGCTGACCGTTGGGTAGACATTATTATAGGGCGTCTTTTTCCTATCATTGACGTTAGATGTTAGGAATTAACTTGCGCCGTCCCGAATGTCACTGACTCGTCATTGGACGAATTCGACGGCGCGTGATCGTGGTGTGGATAGATTAAATTTGACTTGTCACCTGTACAGTTGTAATACACCTATAATATTTACATGTACACATATATTGAATTTTACTTACGTCATAAATTAATCTGTACAAGTCAGCATTTATCAATCCGTTCCGAAAATTATATAAAATTTGATTAAAATGGCAGCATTATGGACCTTTTTTTAAGACACCCTACATGATGGACTTTTTTCAAAAAAATAGTCAACATAGTGGTCTAAGAATGAAATTTTACCCACATTTTATCTCACAATTGTATCTCACAAACGCCAAGTTTACATATAAATTGACATAGTGAGTGACAAGAAATGATGCTGAAGTACTTTAGTTGTTGTTTATGATACATAACTTAGTATCAATGATGTAGTAAGTCAAACTATGTGTTATCCTATCCTATGTTAGTGTAGCATGTTCCTCCGCCAATTGTCCAATTAATACAATAAAACAAAATTCGGAACAAAGAAAATTGAATAAAGAAAAACTAAATGGAATCGTCAATATATTTCAGTACTGCATCTTACACTCTTATACGAACTATATAACTCCAATGCCACTATATATCATAATCATATACATATCAGGATTTTGTTCAAATGAAATCCACTACTCGCTATTGGAACATGAGGACAAATTCTAGCCCTTCAAAAGGCATATTATTATATACTCATACATCTATAAATATGCATTAATTAAAACTGTTATTTGTTAATAAACCAAAAAAACATTTTAAATAGAAAAACAAAACTTGAATGCCGCATTATAGTCAAATACGCATTAAAACTGTTCTTTGTTAATAATACACTAAAAAAACATTTTAAATAGAAAAACAAAACATTTATATATAGTCCTTGTATGTGAGCTCTAATATAGTTCTAAACATTCACAAACAATTTATAAGTTATAATAATTATTCATTTAGAAGTTGATGATGCATATATATAACCTACTCAGTTATATGCATTGTAGAAGGATGAAGACATTCATATCTTGTAACCAATTTATATCCGTCGGATATAAATTTATGAATGGTTGCAATTAATTCCTACATTTGATCATATTTAATGGTACTCAATTTATATCAATTTCATTACAGTAGACAATACTAGCAAAACAGCTGCGTTTCATCAATTGCTTCAAACGCGATCCAGCCAAAAGCAGATAATAAGAATACGAACTTTCTTTGAACCACACGTCACCAAATAATTAGGTCATTCTTAGACTTCAAGTCACCCAAGCTAAACCCACTATGCATTAGTAAACCTAATCTTCTCAGATACACTACCACTCGATATACCTACTTATCCCTTTAAAGTCAAGCACTGGGACCAATACGTTATTGCCCATTATTAGCACAGCTTGGCACTATATATACATATATAAACTCACCATCCCACTCTACACTTCAAATTAATTAATTCCCCTCTTCATAATATTAATTCATAGTCCATCTTGTCCAAATTAAATCCATATGGCACCAAAAACCCTAACCAAGTCCCTCCCTTTCTTTTTCTTCCTCCTCCTCCTCGGATCATCGACCACATCTTACGGGCCGAATGCTTGGGCCCGGGCCCGGGCCCGAATCCGCCAGCCATGCAGGAACATGACTTTCTACTTCCACGACATTATCTACAACGGCCATAATTCCAAGAACGCCACTGCGGCCATCGTGGGGGCCCCCGCGTGGGGCAACACGACGATCCTCGCTGGCCAGAATCATTTCGGAAACGTGGTCGTTTTCGACGACCCCATCACTCTCGACAACAATCTTCACTCGCGCCCCGTGGGCCGGGCCCAGGGGTTTTACTTGTACGACAAGAAAGACGTGTTCACTGCGTGGCTCGGGTTCTCGTTCGTGTTCAACTCCACGCGCCACAGGGGCTCCATAAACTTCGCGGGGGCCGACCCGTTGATGAACAAGACGAGGGACATCTCGGTAATTGGAGGGACGGGAGACTTCTTCATGGCACGTGGGATCGCAACGCTGTCGACGGATGCGTTCGAGGGTGAGGTTTATTTCCGGCTACGTGCGGATATTAGACTTTACGAGTGTTGGTAAAAAAAATTTTTGGAGGTGTTGGTGGTTTTATGTATGATGGCAATGCATAACCAAATTTGTTTTACTTTGTGTATGATGGCAAGGTGGTGTTGGTTTTGGTGATTTTT